TCAAGATTCACTCAATTTTCGGACAGTGATATGATGACCAAGCCTCTGGACTTTTGGAAGACCGTATTGTTCTCAGATGAATCAAGATTCACTCAATTTTCGGACAGTGATATGATGACCAAGCCTCTGGACTTTTGGAAGACCGTATTGTTCTCAGATGAATCAAGATTCACTCAATTTTCGGACAGTGATATGATGACCAAGCCTCTGGACTTTTGGAAGACCGTATTGTTCTCAGATGAATCAAGATTCACTCAATTTTCAGACAGTAGAAGGATATGGGTCTGAAGAATGCCTCACCAAGAGTTTTGACTTAACAGATTGCAGCCAACTGTGAAGCATGGTGGTTTCAGCGTGATGGTTTGGGGAGCTGTTTGGGTTGGTGGGAGATCGAGCTTAGTGAAGTGCGTTGACAACATAAATTTTGCGAAATACGTCGAAATATTGGAGGAAGGACTCTTGCCACTTTATTCCTCGGGTTTCGTGGACAAGAAGATGGAGCACCGTGTCACACTGCTAGAAACACCCAAATATGGCAGGAAGAAAATGGTATCCAGAAGTTGCCCTGGACGAGCCAATCTCCTGACATGAACCCCAATCGAAAACCTCTGGGCCATACTCAACTGGCAATTCAAGAAACAACCAAAAAAACCAACTTCGAAGAGCGATCTACTTTAAGTTTTGAAGCAAAAGTGAGCAAAAATCCCACAATCTAAAATTGGCGAGATGATTCTCACGATGCCCCAAAGGATTAACGAACTCCACGAAGTGAAAGGAAGATCTACTAGATATTAATGAAATTATAAATATATCAATTCATGTGAATATGACTGAAAATTTTCATTTTTTCTGAAAAGGTGGTGTCTATTTACTTGTGACCACACTGTGTATAATATGAAACAGACACAACACTTAAATCAGAGTCTGACAAATGCATTGGACAGAGAAAGGTCATAATCTTACTTCTAGAGATGAGAAAGATCTATACCAAATCAAAATAGTATTTCAGGCTGAGAATATCAAGCATTATATACTTATCTGGTTAGGATCAAATCTCCCAAAGTGTATTTATCATCCTATACCCAGTTACTTCCATTAACAAAAAATAAGGGAGAAAATCTTCAGGTGTTTCTAAACCTTTACACAACAGATGTAAAACATAATCAATTAGCACAAACCTAAAGGAATTCTCCAGCGACATTAAAAGGCAGATCCACAAATAGCAAAACAAAATGAACTTTAACAATGTATGATTAGCTGGCTATCAGAAACATAGCAATGCATATAACAATGAAAAATTATATTTTGAAAATTTTGGTAAACAAGAAATCTTTACCTTCCCAAATTAAAGGAGCAAGAAAAAACTTATGTTTTACATACCATACCTCTTTTTTTTGCTACTTCCAGTAGCATTTTGTAAAATAACATTTTTTTCATGCCTTCACTTACTTTTCCAAAATGGTTTAGCACAATATATATATATATATATATATATTTCTTCAAATGCTAAAATTTCATACAATAAATGCTTTCATAATTGCAGAATAAAATAACTTTGCACTGAAACGTTCTGTAATGTATTAACATTCAAAGAAAACATCAATTATAGGTGCATTTGTAAATTAAAGTTTTAATGTCAAAAGAATACTTGAATATCTGTTATATTCATATGACTGGCTATAGATTTATCCCCACCCTGTTAAAATCACAAGGAATACACAACCCTTTCCATCATTAAATATCTATGTTTGCAATCTGATGCATGTATTATAAAATT